GTGTTTGCAATCCAAGACACTTTCCCTGGTATGAGGATGGATCCGTTGGTCCACCACTTTAGACTGGTCTTCACTTTGAGCGGTAGTCTTATGGGAAGGTCGATCTTGTTGGCAATCTGAAATTGAATGGGTCTGAGAAGCTGCTGGAGTTCCCTGGAATCTCCCCCACTGGATAGTGTCTATGGACAGTATCAACAGTTCTGTTAGCATCATACGGGAGGAGTGTTTGCTCCTGATCACAGCTGAAGCCATCTCCTTTGGTTTTTTCATTTTGCCATCTGTCAAATACAAGGCTCAGGCTCAGGCTATGGTGTCCATTACGCAGCCCAGGTGTTCAAGGCATTGTGTCGGAGACAGCAAGCTTTTCTGAAGACTTACTATAAACCCAAAGTTCTGCAGACATTGAATGGTCAGACCTGTCTTGAATGGCCTTGGACCTGGAGCAAGACTGAACCAGAAGTTCATTCATATGGATGAATAAAATATTCCCTGTTTCTGGAGGTGTACCACCACATTTATGAGAACATTTGAAAAAACCCTTGTGGCTGAGGAGAGGCCGATGGGAAGTGCCGGGAATTGAAAATGCTGGTTCCCTATGCAGCAGCACAGGAATTTCCTGTGCCCTTGGCAGATGTGTAAGTAAGCCTCAGTAAGTTTTTTAGAGGACAAAAACTCCCAAGGTTGGAGGGATTCGGAAACTGATCTTAGCGTCTCCATCCTGAAGTGGCACAGTCTTATAAATGTGTTTAAAAACTTGAGATCAAGGATAGCCCTCCAATCTCTGTTCCTTTTTGGCACTGTGAAAAAAAGCAGAGTACAGACCCTTTCTGTGTTCTGGTGTTGAAATTGGCTCTATCACCCAGATGCCTAAGAGATGTTAAATGGCTTTTCTGGTCCTTGATCTCTTCACAGGATTTATGCGGACGGGAGACACAACGAAATAATTTGGGGGGGATTTTGAAGAATTCTATGTAATAACCATTAGAGACTATCTCCTTGGTCCATGAGTCTGCCTGGGAGTTGTTCCAAATCTCCAGATAGTACATCAGACTCCCCCCCCCCACAAGAGCAAAGGCTGCATGTCTTGGTTGACTTGGGATCTTGCTCTCCTTTGTCCATTCTGGAGGAGCTCTGACTGCCAAATCTGGGATTGAATTATCCATGTCTGAAGGACTGCCTGGACACCCCCCCCCCCAAGAGCCTCATCTGTTATCCTGATGAAACCTGGAGAGGACACTCTCAGAACAAAAGGAGAAATAACCAAAAAAAACTTTTATCACCTCTCTTGAGAGTTTTGGGAAGGGCCTACACCAGTTTGGTGTAGTGGTTAAGTGTGCGGACTCTTATCTGGGAGAACCGGGTTTGATTCCCCACTCCTCCACTTGCACCTGCTGATGTGACCTTGGGTCAGTCACAAGCTCTGGCACAGCTGTCCTTGAAAAAGAGCAGTTTGTGTCAGAGTTCTCTCAGCCCCACCCACCTCACAGGGTGTCTGTTGTGGGGAGGGGAAGGGAAAGGGACACTCTCAGAACAAAAGGAGAAATAACCAAAAAAAAAAAAAACCCTTTTATCACCTCTCTTGAGAGTTTTGGGAAGGGCCTTCTTTTTATCTTTAGTTTCCACTAAGATTTTGTCTAATCAGTCACCAAAGAGACGATCCCCCTGGAAGGGATAGGCTGTAACTATGGCTTTTGACTGATAGTCTGCCTGCCGTGCCCTTAGCCATAGTTCCTCCTAACAGCAGTGGTGGATGACACAGCCCTGGAGAAAAACGCCATAGTGTCTAAGGCTGCATTAGCTGAAAATGAGACCACTTTTAAAAACCTATTAGCAACTTCCATCATTGACTGACTATTATCTGGGATAAGCTGGATAAGTTTAGGGCCCATACTATTGAGGCTCTCGATACAAGGGAGATTGCAGTTGAGGCTCTGATGTTCATAGCTATAGCCTCATGTGCCTTGCGTAGGGCAAACTCTGCCTTCTTATCCAGGATGTTTCTAATAGAACCTTGCCCGTCCTCAGATAGCAAGCCAAAAGACTGGAGTGCGGTAACTGAGGCATCCACTAGGGGGACCTGCAGTAAATAATTGATAAATGAAGACAGGGCATAAAGCTTTTTGATGAAGCCCGAGTATTGTTTGTTTGCCAAGAGCTTGGACCACTTGGCTATGAGCTGCTTTTCAAAAAATTTCAGGAAGGGAGAAGACCCTTTCTGCACTGCCAGTCCTAGGAAAAAATTCTTTGTTCCCCTTAGTTTGGACCTTAAATTTGGAGGAAGGCTGGTTCTGATCTTCCCTAGGAGGAGGCTCCTGAAGATCCAAGATCACTATAATTTTAGGGAAAAGGTATTCAAAGTCCTTATTTTAAAACAATCTAGTAGCTGGTTCAGGGATTTCTGTTTCGCCCTCCTTCTCATCTGAAAGAAAATTTTCAGATCAGTATCTGAGGCAAATTCCTCGCTCTCCGATGGGGTTTCTCTTAGCCTTTTTCTGCCTTAGTGGGCCATTGGGATGAACCATGGGTCTTCCGGGATCTATCTGGTTCCCTTTCAGGGGGGGGGGAGGAAGGAGTGGAGGATCACACAGTACATGGATGGCCACAGGACCTTTGATGGCACAAACGAAGGACTTCTTTCCTTATGGTCTGCTTGATAATGTCCACCAAATTAGAAGGTGTCATAAATAAACCAGGGTCATGTACCAGACTGGCGAGAGAACATGCTGGTGCCCTGCTCAGCATCACCCACAGTTACTGCTGCTGATGCTGCCCCTTGAACGATGTGGCCCGCGTTGGAAAAATCTGTGGCTTCTCCGAGACTTGTGCAGCCAGAGCGGGAGGCTGTAAGGCTGTCACTTGGCTGTGTTGGGGACATGACACTGGTAATAGAGGCCCCGTGAGAAAGCAATGCTTGTGTGCTCGCTTGGTAAGTGCACAGCTTTTTCACATGCTTTTTTTGAGTCCTGTCAGGGCGGCTCTAGGGGTGTGCAAAAAAATAAATAAAAAATCAGCCCGATTTGGATTCGGCCGAATCGGGCAGAATCAATTTCAGCCGGCAGAAAGACTCCCACATGTCAATTTCGGCAGTAGGAGCAGATTCCCAGTCTTTGGGCCAGCCGAATGTCAATTTCGGCCCCATTATATCCTATGGGCCACTGAAGTCAATGGCGAAAACATAGGGTATATTCTGGGGGCAGGAGGGGAGGGGTTTTGAGGGAGAGGCTCCAAACCCGCGGGGTAGCTGCTGGAGCCTCTTTCCAAGATACCCACCAAGTTCCAAGAACATTGGACTAGGGGGTCCAATTCTATGGGCCCCCAAACAGGTTGCCCCCATCCCCTCCATTGTTCTCTATGGTGAGAAAAAAGTTACACCAATGTGCTTTGTGCTTGGTGGGTATCTTGGGGAGAGGCTCCAGCAGCTACCCTGTAAGTTTGGAGCCTCTCCCTCAAACCCCCTCCCCTCCAGCCCACAGAATATACCCTATGTTTTCGCCACTGATTTCAATGGCCCATAGGATATAATGGGGCCGAATTGCCGCCGAAATTCGGCGATACACCGATTCAGATCAGGGAATCTGAATCGGCTCGCAGCAGCCAGAAAGGGGCCTGAATGGGCCATTTTCGGGGGTGCATTCGGTTCAGACGAACTGAATGCACATCCCTAGGTAGGCGGCTCCATTGGGGATGCCTGATCAAGCCTCTTAAGGGTCTTGCCGGCTCCACTCATGTTTCTGTGGTCAGAGGAAACAAGGAAGGGGTCATGCTTGCCTCCCAACAGAAAGTTGTCCCTATTGGACCCTAAGGTTTCCGTTCACAATAGCAGACAATATGCCACGCTATAGAAGTTAAGGAGGCAGAATGGCTGCCATGAGGGAATAGCCTCTGAGAGGATTCTATAAGTCTTTTTATTTTAAGCTAAAGAAGTGGAACATACAGAGATAAACAGGACAGTATAAAGAAAAATTAGAGATCTGATGAAGGAAGAGTCAGAAATAGCGAGAAATAGATGTGAGATTGTAGGCAGTGCCTAATCTACGTCGCTCTCCCTGTTAGGCAGGAGAACAACCGAGAGAGAAGGGTGCCTCTCACAAGGAAAACAGGAAGTAAGAAGAAATTATTCCTGTCTTACTGATGGGTTGGTGGGAAGCACCCACAATATGCACCTACCTGTAACTGTTGTTCATCGAGATATCTTCTGTGCAGACACACATTGGGACTGCCCTTGTGCAAGCCAGCCACCAGAGGCTCTCTTACAGCTATTCTGGTATATTTTTAACATTCCAAGGGGAGTCCCCCCACGCTGCAGAGTTCATTAGAGACTGCCTATGGTCACGTGTTCTGCAGGGAGGAGCCCTGAGCTCTTTGGACAGGCAGTGTGTGTGTGTGGGGGGGAGACGGACCCAATGGGGTAACTAACTCAGAAGCTCTACTCCTATTCATGAAATTTGCTCTGTAAATTTCTCTTGCTTTGGTTAAAAGTGAGAAGACTGGATTCTATGTCTTTGTTCTGGATATCTTTCTTTCCACCTGTTACTGAGGCAGTCCTCCACTGAGGAGCGCACTTCCTCTGGAATCCCAAAGTGCCTAGCACAAGAGGACAAACATATACACAGAATAAAGGCAACCATCCCACCCTCAAAAGGGGGGGGGAAGGGAATTGCAAATTTGCTAAACCCACTAAAAATGGAAGTGCCAAGTGATTTGTAGTCCAGTATATTTACTTCCTGGCCCAACAGGCCCAGCACAGAGACAGACTGAATTCTGACTGCAAACTATGGCAAGAGTTATACAATTAGGCCGTGAACCAATAAAACAATTCTGGTCTAGTAAAAGCTGTCATTTAAAACCAGGCTGTGAACCACTGAAATAATTTTGGTCTAGCAGTAAGTGTTTAAAAAACTGTCATTACACCTGTATAATCTCAATACAGTAAAGGAATCCTTTGATTTTTCTGGTCGTATGGAAAGAAAGAAGCCTGTGAGTTAAGCAGCACAAGTTGGGCCATTTCTATTGTTCCACAGGCATTCTGCAATTAAGTTCCCAAACTTCAGCTTAACTTTTGCCAGGTCTTTGAGCCAGCCCACCTATATTGCACCAGGATCCCCCCTGACTGTCTTGCTGCCAACCCCACTGATTAATTATGGGACTTCATCAAAGAACTAGTATCACTTCAAGTCCATCCTCTAAAAGAGGCGTAACACGATATGCAGAGATGGTTATTAAAATGTAGATTACACCGTTAAACCTAAAACATATTTTCTAGAAGACTAGGCAAACTAGTAAGGCCAAAAGAATATAAAGCCTGGTCCCCCCCCCCCCCAAAAAAAAACACCAAACAAAAACAAGCCGTCTGACAAGGCAGGGGACAAACAATTGTGACTAACTGCCATGGACTCTGCTTGTATAAAGAAAGAAAATAAAAATGGATTGTTCATTAGATTATTTACTGCAGCCCTTCCCACCCTTGCCTCTTGATTAATCTGCCCCATTGCCTATTAGATTGCAAGCTCATAGGGGGCAGGCCAGTGTTCCCTCTAAGCTGAGTTAGTGTGAGCTAGCTCACAGGTTTTTAGCCTCCAGCTCACACATTTTTGTCTCAGCTCAGGAAGGACGGGCTCCAGAGCAAACTAATTTATGCAGTAGCCAAATGGCTCGCTCACTTTAATAAGGACAAAAAAAGGGGGGGAGGAGACTGAACCTAAAACCTTTATAGGTTCTGAATCGCTCACTTTAATGCCAGTAGCTCACAAAGTAGAATTATTGCTCACAAGACTCCACAGCTTAGAGGGAGCATTGGGGCAGACACACATTTGCATCTAGGATACCCTGCAAGGCATTTTCTACAATAATGCTGCATATGTGCAAAAAAATCAACTAAAGCCATAGTAGAAAGATTCCTGCGTTTAATGAGAAACAAACAGTGTTTTATACCTTAACAGTTACTGCTACACGCTAGCAAACCACATCGATCACCATAAGCAATATTTTACTTACTGTGGCATCTTTAACGATGATTCTAGCAACATGATCAGGTTTGCAGACAGGTGATGCTTCTGAAATAAGCCTGGTCTCTAAAAGCTTGAATAAAAACAAGTACAAATACGTGGTTACATAAACATAAGGACGACAGAGACATCACCATCCAATGGATTCACATAGGTTAGGGTTGCTAAATATACCAGTCAGGGTCATGCAACCATCACCAATTTCTCCCCCCTATAAAGCAAGATCTGTATTTCAAGAGCAATTCAGCATCTTAAAGTTGTGATTAAATATTATACAGCTACTCTGTAAGCCAAGGCATGACTTTAGTGTTTTACCTTTACCAGTTTTATTACTCATGTACTGATATAATTGGTCCCATATACATCTAGCATTTGGTATGGTGAATCTCCTTGATGAATTATAGAAGCAGCAAATTCTAGAGCAATGATACGAAAAATGGTTCTTATAATAGTTTAAAACTATTTTTTATTGTTGGACCATTTTTACCTTGAAGCTCTCTTTGCTGAAAGTTGAAATTATTTCCAAAAAATTAAAGCTCCATAAACTTTTTCAGGGTTTGGTGAATGCTGATGAAGAACAGGTTGCTTACCTGTAACTGGTGATCTTCGAGTGGTCATCTGTGCATTCACACCCATGGGGTCTAGTGGGCACGCGCTGGATCGATCGGCATTGTAGCAAGCTCTTAACGGATTTTCGTGCCCAGACCTCGGGCATGTGCAGGAACCCCACCGCGCATGCCCAGAGGGGTGGGTGCGGACATCCCACCAGTTCCTTCAAACCGCCGCAAATTAACCCCTATTAAAAATGTAGAAGCTGACAGCAGCGAGGAAGGAGGGCGGGTGGTGTGAATGCACAGATGACCACTTGAAGATCACCAGTTACTGTGTCCCAGTCGCGGCTGGGACCTCCCAGAACCAACGGGAGATGGAACGACCAGCAGCTTGCCTGGATGTTCTCCCCTCGCCACGCCAGCCACACTTACCCAGGTGACGGAGGAAAGAGCTCTGGGAATGGGGAGCGGGCGGGAAAGAGAGACGCTGTGGGAGAGCCAGAGGTTGCGGCGGTGCGGCCACGCCGAGGGAACAAGAATGCAGGATGGACCAGAGCTGGCCCGCTGGTCCGAGGAGGATCGGCCGAGGCACGGACGGGAAAGGAGTGTGCGCCTGCAGCCTCAGAAGAGGGAGAGGAGCAGGCAGCATTAGGCGCATCGATCCCAGAAGCAGGGTGAAGGGCGGAGCCGGGAGCGACGGCGTCCTCCTATTTACAGGGGGCGGGGTCGAGCAAGAGCTGGGGCAGGGAGCCGGGGGAGTAATAAAAGGAGGAGGGGAACAAGCTGAGGAGGAGGAACCGGGCTGGCTATAGTGAACTTCCCTGCTGTGAGCTGGGAAGAAATTTAGGAGGAAGACCTCTGCCTGTAGGTAGAATTCTGACACTACCTTTGGTAGGAAGATGTCAGGTACAAGGCGGACACCATCTGGCAAAAAGGACAAGTAA